CTCTCTCTCTTCCCCCCTCTCCCCCCCCCTCTCCCTCTCCTGTTTCTCCCCCTCTCTCTCTTTACCATCTCTCTCCTCTCTCTCTCTTCCTTCTCTCTCTCCTGTTTCTCTCTCTCTCCCCCCTCTCTCTCTCTTCTCTTTCTGTCCCTTCTCTCTCCCCCCCTCTCTCTCTTCTCTTTCTGTCCCTTCTCTCTCCCCCCTCTCTCTCTCCCCCCTCTCTCTCTTCTCTTTCTGTCCCTTCTCTCTCCCCCCCCTCTTCCTCAGATCATATGGGACCACACACACAAAGAAAAGCAGTTTTTTTTAATCTATTGCTCTGAGGGAGTTTGACTCCCGAAACACGTTAGCACTTCCCCCGAGGACCATTGTTGCCCATGACTGGCAGCTTTTGACTCCTTGTCTCTGTTGTTATGACCTTTTTGGCTTCTGAGTATGCATTTGTATTTTTATAATACATTTCTTCCTATCACGGTAATGCACGAGGAGAGTGCGCCCTGTTTTGTTGTTTTCTTCTAAGGGAGACCAGCAGTGAAGCCTTGCGGTTTCCTACTACGCATGCGCGAAGTGCGCTGCACAGTGTGAATAGGCTGGGACTTTGGAAGTGTCCCATAGGGCTGCGGGGAGTGCTGAACGTCTGGCTCAGTTCGCCATGGTGAACTGAGCTGGAAGTGGGAGCAGGTACCTGTCAAAACCAGGTACCTGCTCCCCCCCTCCCCCCCAAAAGGTGCCAAATGTGGCAGCGAGGGGGGCAGTTGGCAGAAAAGCACAGCTTCCACTTTTTCTTACTACCACGGTAATGCCACGAGGAGAGTGCGCCCTGTTTTGTTCTTTGCTGCTAGTATCAAGATTCCCCGATCTATCACAGGCGACACTTCAGCAAGTGCTGGATTTCATATTTTTGAGTGCAGCAAGAAGGATCTGAGCGCTGGTTTCTGGTTACTGCTGGTTTCCCTTAGTCAAGATGGCGGCTCCAATTGAAGAATCGGCTTTGGGGGAGGACACTGCTGGATGCCTGGACAGGTAAGTGTCCTAATATTAAAAGTCAGCAGCCAGAGTACTTGTAGCTGCTGACTTTTAAACGTTTATTTTGGGAGGTGGCGGGGGCCGGAACTCCGCTTTAGGGGAAATTTAGATACTAAAAGTCATGTTGTGCCTGATCACCATTATATAGATGGATAGAATTCTGTACACAGCTTGATACCCGATCCAGTATTGGCATTGGCTGCAGTCTTGCCGCTGTGTGGTCGGCTCGGCTCTGGCGCATGGTTAAAACTTTCATTAGGTGTGATAGGCAGTGTTAGTTTCTTGTGTACGTTTTCCTGTGCGTTGCATTAATGAGTCCCCGGGAAGTGTCAGATTATTCTGCGGCCTCTGCGTCTCTAACTTTCCCCATCCTTCAGAAGCTTTGAAGCCAGGGAGGCATAGCCCCATAAATTATACCGAGCTTGAGAGTAACGTGTAACCTTAGAGGAGCCTTTCCCAGCCTTTGTGAATTATGTGCCTTGTATAATGGCCAACGTATAGGACCAGCTCCAACCAAAGGTCTTTCTGAGAAGTTTTGGATGGGATGGGGAAGAGTATAGAACCTCTGTAAGGTGCTGTCATGGTCCTCTTTGGGAAGAGCTCATAGGACTTTCTGCCCTGGTGACAAACTGCTTTAACAGTTGTTTTATATCTGTTTCTTTTTTTTTTTTTTATCTATAAACAACCTTTGTTTTATAAATAAACATAAAATACATGATAAAGGATTCCCAGAGCCCCATGGGTTAGCTAAAGATATAGCAGAGAAGATAAGAGCTTGCTTGAAGTTTTGTCTGTTTAATTGAAATCTCATTCCAATCTTTCTTGCAATTACTCAGTTTTGTATGTAACTTAATACTTGATAAAAACTTTATAGCTGAACTCTCGGCAGATATAGGTAATACATGACAACGGATTCCCAGAGCCCCATGAGTGAACTAAAGATATAGCAGAGCAGATGAAGCTTGCTTGAGGTTCTGTCTGTCTAACTGAAATCTGATTCCAATCTTTCTTGCAATTACTCAGCTGTGTATGTAACTTAATGCTTGATAAAAACTTTAAAAGGAAAACTCTCGGCAGTTTTAAAAAATACATGAAATACACGACAAAGGATTCCCAAAGCCCTGTGAGTTGCCAAAGATATAGCAGAGCAGATGAAGCTTGCTTGAGGCTCTGTCTGTCTGACTGAAATCTGATTCCAATCTTTCTGTCAATTACTCAGTTTTGATGAAAAGGGACGCTATGGGAGGAGACCCAGGAGGACCCCACTGCTGACACAGAAATATGGGAGGAGACCCAGGAGGACCCCACCGCTGACACAGAAATATGGGAGGAGACCCAGGAGGACCCCACCGCTGACACAGAAATATGGGAGGAGACCCAGGAGGACCCCACCGCTGACACAGAAATATGGGAGGAGACCCAGGAGGACCCCACCGCTGACACAGAAATCGGGTAGGAGACCCAGGAGGACCCCACTGCTGACACGGAAATATGGTAGGAGACCCAGGAGGACCCAAACGCTGACACGGAAATATGGTAGGAGACCCAGGAGGACCCAAACGCTGACACGGAAATATGGTAGGAGACCAAGGAGGACCCCACCGCTGACACGGAAATATGGTAGGAGACCCAGGAGGACCCCACCGCTGACACAGAAATATGGGAGGAGACCCAGGAGGACCCCACCGCTGACACAGAAATATGGTGGGAGACCCAGGAGGACACCACCGCTGACACAGAAATATGGGAGGAGACCCAGGAGGACACCACTGCTGACACAGAAATATGAGAGGAGACCCAGGAGGACCCCACCGCTGACACGGAAATATGGTGGGAGACCCAGGAGGACCCCACCGTTGACACAGAAATATGGTAGGAGACCAAGGAGGACCCCACCGCTGACACGGAAATATGGTAGGAGACCCAGGAGGACCCCACCGCTGACACAGAAATATGGTGGGAGACCCAGGAGGAGACACCACCGCTGACACAGAAATATGGAAGGAGACCCAGGAGGACCCCACCGCTGACACAGAAATATGGGAGGAGACCCAGGAGGACCCCACTGCTGACACAGAAATATGGGAGGAGACCCAGGAGGACACCAATGCTGACACAGAAATATGAGAGGAGACCCAGGAGGACCCCACCGCTGACACAGAAATATGGTAGGAGACCCAGGAGGACCCCACCGCTGACACAGAAATATGGTAGGAGACCCAGGAGGACCCCACCACTGACACGGAAATATGGTGGGAGACCCAGGAGGACCCCACCGCTGACACAGAAATATGGTAGGAGACCAAGGAGGACACCACCGCTGACACAGAAATATGGTGGGAGACCCAGGAGGACACCACCGCTGACACGGAAATATGGTAGGAGACCCAGGAGGACACCACCGCTGACACAGAAATATGGTGGGAGACCCAGGAGGACACCACCGCTGACACAGAAATATGGTGGGAGACCCAGGAGGACCCCACCGCTGACACGGAAATATGGGAGGAGACCCAGGAGGACCCCACCGCTGACACGGAAATATGGGAGGAGACCCAGGAGGACCCCACTGCTGACACAGAAACATAAAAAGCCAGATCAAAATTTGCCAAAACGTACCTGAGGAAGCCAAAATCTTTTTTGGAGGAATGTGCTGTGGACAGACAAAACAAAATGGCAGCTTTTTGGTAAAGCCCATCATTCTACTGTTTTCAGAAAAAAGCAATGAGGTCTTAAAGAATCCAGTCCCTCCAGTCACACATGGTGGGGGGTCACAGTCCCTTCAGTCACACATGGTGGGGGGGGTCACAGTCCCTACAGTCACACATGGTGGGGGGGGTCACTAATGTTTTGGGGTTGCTTTGCTGCTTCAGGCACTGCATGTCTTGGCCGTGTGCATGGCATTATGAAATCTGAAGACTACCAGAGAATTCTGGGGTGCAATGTAGGGCCCGGTGTCAGAAAGTTGGGTCTCCTCCATCAAAGGTCATCGGTCTTCCAGCAGTACAATGACCCAAAGCACACGTCACAAAGCCCCCAGAGATGGTTTCAGACAAAGCGCTGGAGAGGACTGAACTGGCCAGCAATGAGTCCAGATCTCCATCCCATAGAGCTCCTGTGGAGAGATCCCAGACCAGCAGTTGGGAAAAGGAACCTTCCAATCTGAGAGACCCGGAGCAGTTGGAGGAAGGAGAGCGATCCAAAATTCCAGTAGAGAGGTGGAAGAAGCCAATTGATGGTGACAGGAAGCCATTGATTTCCGTTATATTTTCCAAGGGGTGTGCCACCAAATATTACATGGAGGGTGCCAATAATTTTGTCCAGTCCATTTTTGAGGTTTTGCGTGGAATGCGTCAGTTTGGCTTTTTTTCTCCACTTTTTGTGTCACCAATACAGTAAAAAGGTTTAAAGTAGAACTATAGGCAATTTTTTTTTCATTTTGGATAGAGTAAGGGAGGGTTATAATCTCCGTCCGTTTCGCCATCCATGTCCCATTTCGGAGATTTCCCTTCACTTCCTGTCTCAAAGTCAAACAGGATGTGAGAGTAAATCCCTGCAAATCATGGGAATTCCTTGGGGATCACCAGACCTAGTGTCCCTGTTGGAAGATTTCTCCTCTATTACGTTTTCTGGGGAAAACCCAAAATTTGGAATTTTCTTTTACTCTCACTTTTGAGGATCTCGGTAAACAGGACAAATAGAGAGGGGGGGATCTCCTTAACGGGGACACAGACAGCAATAAATACTGACAGGGGGTCTAAACCCTCTCCATTCCATCCAAAACTAAAAAAAACATGTTTTGTCTTTAGTTATATACTTTAACCGCCTCCCACCTGCCATATAAGGTAATGACGGGCGCAAGGCGGTTCTCTCGTTCTGGGAGGACTTCATATGACGTCCTCCCATTCTAAGCGTGTAGCGCGGCGATTGGTGGTGTGTTGTGTCCCTCGGACACAGCGGATCACCGATCAACGGAAAGAGCCGAAGATGTCGGTTCGGTCATGTGATCAGCTGTGTCCAATCACAGCTGATCACATGTAAATAGGGAAATGCCGGTAATCAGCATTCCTCGGAGGGGACATGTACACTGATCATCAGGGCACTGATAATCAGTGTAGCCTCAGCAGTGCCACCTGTCAGTGCCCATCAGTGCCACATCAATGCCACATATCAGTGCCCATCTGAGCTGCCTTTCAGTGCCACCTATCAATGCCAGTCAGTGCTGCCTATCAGTGCCAGTCAGTGCTGCCTATCAGTGCCAGTCAGTGCCGCCTAACAGTGCCAGTCAGTGCTGCCTATCAGTGCCACCTATCAGTGCCATATATGAGTGCTGCCTTTCAGTGCCCATCAGTGATGCCTGTCAATGCCGATCAGTGCCACCTACCAGTGCCTCCTCATCAGTGCCATCTATCAGTGTCCATCAGTGCAGCCTATCAGTGCCCATCACTGCAGCCTCATTAGCGCACATCAGTGAAGGAGAAAAATCACTTATTTACAAAATTTTATAACAACTAAGAAAAAACTTTTTTTCCCAAAATTTTCAGTGGTTTTTGGTCTGTTTAGCAAAAAAAAAAAAACCCCGAGGTGATTAAATACCAGCAAAATAAAGCTCTATCTGTCTTAAAAAAAATGATAAACAATTCATATGGATACAGTGTTGCATGACCGCGCAATTGTCATTCAGAGTGTGATAGCACTGAAAGCTGAAAATTGGCCTGGAGAGGAAGGGGGTGAAAGTGTCCGGACTGGAAGGGGGTAGAGTGTCCGGAGAGTGTCCGGACTGGAAGGGGGGGGGGAGTGTCCGGACTGGAAGGGGGTAGAGTGTCCGGACTGGAAGGGGGGGGAGTGTCCGGACTGGAAGGGGGGGGGGGGAGTGTCCGGACTGGAAGGGGGGGGGGAGTGTCCGGACTGGAAGGGGGGGGGGAGTGTCCGGACTGGAAGGGGGGGGAGTGTCCGGACTGGAAGGGGGGGGGAGTGTCCGGACTGGAAGGGGGGGGGGCAGTGTCCGGGCAGGAAGTGGGTGAAAGTGTCCGGACTGGAAGGGGGGAAAGTGTCCGGACTGGAAGGGGGGGAAAGTGTCCAGACAGGAAGGGGGGGAAAGTGTCCGGACTGGAAGGGGGGAAAGTGTCCGGACTGGAAGGGGGGAAAGTGTCCAGACTGGAAGGGGGGGAAAGTGTTCGGACTGGAAGGGGGTGAAAGTGTCCGGACTGGAGGGGGGAAAGTGTCCGGACTGGAAGGGGGGAAAGTGTCCAGACTGGAAGGGGGGGGGGGAAAGTGTTCGGACTGGAAGGGGGGGAAAGTGTCCGGACTGGAAGAGGGTAAAAGTGTCCGGACTGGAAGGGGGTGAAAGTGTCCGGACTGGGAGGGGCTGAAGTGTCCAGACTGGGAGGGGGGGGGGAAGTGTCCAGACAAGAAGGGGGAAAAGTGTCCGGAATGGAAGGGGGTGAAAGTGTCCAGACTGGAAGGGGGTGAAAGTGTCCGGACTGGGAGGGGCTGAAGTGTCCGGACTGGGAGGGGAGGGAAAGTGTCCAGACTGGAAGGGGGGAAAGTGTCCGGACTGGAAGGAGGGAAAGTGTCCGGACTGGAAGGGGGTGAAAGTGTCCGGACTGGGAGGGGCTGAAGTGTCAGGACTGGGGGGGGGGAAAGTGTCCGGACTGGAAGGGGGGGAAAGTGTCCGGACTGGGAGGGGCTGAAGTGTCAGGACTGGAAGGGGGGAAAGAGTCCGGACTGGAAGAAGGGAAAGTGTCCGGACTGGAAGGGGGTGAAAGTGTCCGGACTGGAAGGGGGGAAAGTGTCCGGACTGGAAGGGGGGGAAAGTGTCCGGACTGGGAGGGGCTGAAGTGTCAGGACTGGAAGGGGGGAAAGAGTCCGGCTGGAAGGAGGGAAAATGTCCGGACTGGAAGGGGGGGAAAGTGTCCGGACTGGAAGGGGGGGAAAGAGTCCGGCTGGAAGGAGGGAAAATGTCCGGACTGGAAGGGGGGGAAAGTGTCCGGACTGGAAGGGGGGGGAAAGAGTCCGGCTGGAAGGAGGGAAAATGTCCGGACTGGAAGGGAGTGAAAGTGTCCGGACTGGAAGGGGGGGGAAAGAGTTCGGCTGGAAGGAGGGAAAATGTCCGGACTAGAAGGGGGGGGAAAGTGTCCGGACTGGAAGGAGGGAAAATGTCCGGATTGGAAGGGGGGGGAAAAATGTCCGGACTGGAAGGGGGGAAAGTGTCCGGACTGGAAGGGGCGGAAAGTGTCCGGACTGGAAGGGGGGGAAAGTGTCCGGACTGGAAGGAGGGAAAGTGTCTGGACTGGAAGGGGGGGAAAGTGTCTATACTGGAAGGGGGGGAAAGTGTCCGGACTGGAAGGAGGGAAAGTGTCTGGACTGGAAGGGTGGGAAAGTGTCCGGACTGGAAGTGGTTAATAAAGTTCTAAATTAAAACCATCCAGAGAGTGGATGATCTACCAGCAGGCGCTCTTTAAGGCCCGGTTTGCACTGGTGCGAGACATGCGGCCTGTGATTGCGAGGCACGGCACTCCATCTGAATAGGGAGATGAAGAAGCTGCAAGTGAAGCGCACTATGGGCTGACATAACGACACGGCTATGATGGAGAGAATCCAGAGAGAAGAGACCAAACTGACTGCTGACCTCTGAAGTTGGCGGCACCACTCTGGTCATGTGACCTGTGATGTCACTTTTAGCAGCTTGGTGCAGTCAGGCTGATAATAGAACAGTAGTGAGGGGCAGAACACCTCCCTGTTCGGTTCGCGCGGTCGAACATTCAAAACCTTTGAAAATGGGTGGTGGATGGGTGTTCCAGCATGACAATGACCCAAAACACACGGCCAAGGCAACAAAGGAGCGGCTCAAGAAGAAGCACATCAAGGTCCTGGAGTGGCCTAGCCAGCCTCCAGACCTTCGTCCGATTGAAAATCTGTGGAAGGAGCTGAAAGTTCGAGTTGCCAAACATCAGCCACCAAACCTTAATGACTTGGAGAGGATCTGCCAAGAGGAGTGGGCCAAAATCCCTCCTGAGATGTGTGCGAACCTGGGGGCAAACTCCAGGTAACGTCTGACCTCTGTGATTGCCAACAAGGGATTGGCCACCAAGTACTAAGTCATGTTTTGTGAAGGGGATCAAATCCTTCTTTCCCTCATGAACATGCAGATCAGTCATCATTTGTTAGACGCATTTCTGCTGAATTTGTTGTTGTATTCTGTCTCTCAGTGTTACACCGAACATTCCATTGTTAGACCGATCATTTCTGTGTGAGGGGCGAACATTCCATTGTTAGACCGATCATTTCTGTGTGAGGGGCGAATATTCACCATCAGCCGGGGAGCAAATACGCATTTCCTTCACTGTATGTATATATATATATATTTAATATATATATATATATATACACTGTATGTTGAAATGTGTTTTTTATATATTACAAAATATATGAAAAATATTTTTAAAAATATATATTTTTTTAAAATATTCTTCAGATTTTTTTTAACATAGAAAAAAATATATTTTTGTGTATATATATATATATAATATTTTTTTTTTAAATATATTGAATACGGACAAAATTGTAATATTTCCAATATATGTCAATGTATTTGGGAAGAATATATTTCAAATATATTTTATTTCAATATATTTTAAAATATATTGCCCCCATGTGGGAAGGAGGCAAAGACCGAACACAGAGTGGTGCACCCATTCTACAGCATATATTAACAGTAAGGGAGGGGGGCACAATTCTGGATCCTCGCCCTGGGCGTTGTACACCCTGTCATGGTACTGGTGGTAGCAATGGGCCGGCTGGCACGAAGCAAAGACCCTGCAAATGCAGAACAATCCCCGTCAATCTGCTAGAAATCCAAATGCAATGGAGTTACAATTCGGATCTGGCTATGCTTTGTTCTTTCAATGCTTCTGCCATGCACAGCCCAGATCTCGGCGTTGTCATACCACCCCGGGGGGGGGGGGGGATTTTTGTCATTGCAGAGGGTGGGAGACATTTTTGTTTCACGGACACGGACGGTAAATCCCGGGACACCTCTTTCCTTTCCCTCCAGTCTCACATTGCAGTTCCCTGTGTTAGAATTGGGAGCTCCTCGGGCCCTTCCTGCAGAATGCATTAGCGGCAGCGGAGGTCTGTGGTGAGCGCAGGAATTCCACACCTGAGGTTGTCGCGTCTGCGTTCAGTGGGAATTTTTTTCGCCCCGGTCAGAAAAGGGATGCTGGAGTCGTTGGTGATGAATACCTTGTTGGAGCCAAATCCCACAGACACTGGATCAGGTGTGAACACAGCAGACTGACACCAGGCGACCCTGCCTTGCCCCTCACATTTGAAGGATGGGGTCATGTCAGGAACGCCGTGACTCGTGACCCCTATAATCCAGGTGACTGGAAGCAATCGGTGTTCCCGCTGCTTGGGGGCCAGCTTGGTGTTCAGCTGCCACACATATAGTCACCTATGTTTGGACTGAACCCAAATACAGTGTTGGTGATGTCACCTGATGTCTAAGGAGACCCCTCCCATGAGGTTTCTGCTGCATTTAAAACTGTGCCGGTGCTGGGACTAGGTCATCCAGGGCCCGGTGCAAAGACGCCAAACGTGCGCCTCCCACCCAAGTCAGCATCAGTGTGATAGCCAACCCCTGTCCACAGCTCACCTCTGCACCTCTCTTCCATGCCTCATCAACCTCTAAGCTCTGAAGCCCGCTTTTAGGCTGCAGTATATCCTCCGACTGAAAGGTGGCACTGTGCTGTTTCTTCAAACTGGCAGGAGCCCATTGAGGACTGATTGTCCTCTGCTATGGGCTCCAGACAACCATCATGGGGAGGACAGCAATCCTATCGGATACCAAAATCTTGTAAAATAAGTAGGAGATAGGAACAAAGACCCTGAAGATTAAGAAGAGAGTAGGAGTAGCATTAGGGAGAGTGTGAGGGACTGCCTGGCCCCCCGCCTGGGTGCTTCCATCAGAGAACTGCTTCCTCGCCGCTGGGACAAAGGACCAAGGTATTATAACTGGGCATTGCACCAAAGAACTACACAACACTAGCTGATGTGCAACTGGAACTGTTTTACTGAACAGAAATACAGGTTTTTATACACTGCAGAAATAGGGGCAGTCCCCACATGAGCAATAAAAACAAACATTACACATTGGGATAAACATCCCACACTGATTAGGTAACGTGATCAGGTTGACACCAGACTCATCCCATCATGTAGGAACCTCCTGGAGGACTAGCCAATAGACAGAAACAATAGGTGACTCATTTAGCTCAATTAACAATGGGACAAAGATACAACAGTAGACACATCCCGATTTGTAACCGATTACAGCAAGAGACTTCAGTATCAGGTTGGGTTGAGCTGATTATATTACCACCTCCTTAGAGTACGTAAGTCTAGGAGGGAGGGGGTTGAAGCAGTCAATCCTGATTTGGGTACAGAGACCCCCAAATCTGTATCCTGGTCC